CAACCATAGGATTTTACAACTGTTTAGTGATTCTGCTTTATTGATTTTGCTGGATTTTAAGATTTTGCCATGATTTACTAATCATGTAAATTTTTGTTTTTGTTGTATTATATTTATGGGAGTTGCCCAAGAAGTTTTTAAACTGAAAGTTCTCATATTGCTCTTTCAGATAATGCAATCTATCAGTAGGGGGCGGGGGAATGTGATCTGTAAACTCCCATATCTGATGTGTATGTTTTGATCCCAGGAATTGGCTCTACCAAAAATTCTTACAAAATGTGTTCCTTGTGCTCCCTCTTTCACTCTGTATGAACTGTCTCAGACTGGCAGATAATTAGGTTGGAAAATCTTCCATGGATTCCTTGCAGATGTTAACTTCAGTTGTTGACATTAGCTAAGGGTCAGAATCATCACACATGTAGATTTGCACAACAGCCCTTTAAAGGCTACTCATAAGAACAGTGGTGCCTCGCAAGACAATTTTAATTCATTCCATGGAAATCGCTCTTTTGCAAAAACATTGTCATGCAAAACCCAGTTCCCCATTGGAATGCATTGAAATCTATTTAATGCATTCCAATTGGAAAAAAAATCACTGTCTTGCAAAACACAGTTCTCCATACCATATTTGGAAAAAACAATCCCCTCACCTGCACTGCCTTTGGAAATTCAATGGTTCTCAGATAGCCGTCCCCCTCTTTCTTTCTCCAGCAACAAAGAAAGAGTATGAAAGGAGTCAAAGCAGCCCCCTGGCTCTTGATAATGGTGACTCCTTTTGCCCTGATTGATCCTTTACCATGGGGGAGAAAAATGCAACATGAAACATCACCAGGACTTGCTGCCTTTGCAATAGGTTCTGATGACCCAAAGAAAGATAAAAAGGAATCTAGAAAAACCAGAGAAACCACAAGTGCAATCTCTCATTAACACAAATTATGCAGTTGAGTTGCCTACATTTGGGGAAATCACAGGGGTCAGCAATATACCTAAAGCGCAATGGATGAGCCTCTCCCTGAAAAAACCACTTCTATGACATGGTATTTCATTTGCAAAGTATGAGTTGGAACGGCCCTTGCATCTCCTACCCCCTTCTTTCCCCTGTCCCCCTATGGCATGGTGACCCCCTGGCTGCACCTCCTGCTCAGAACAAGGCTGTGCAGCCCCAGTCCTGCCAGAGGCCAAGAGAGCTCCTCAGTGTTTTGGGGTGCCCTGCAGGACCCCCTTCAGGGTCTAAGTGTTCATCCCACAATCCTCTAGTGCACAGATATTAGCCCCCTGTAGGGGGTCCCACAAGACACCCCAAAAGACTGAGGAGCTCGCTTGGCCTCTGGCAGGACTGGGGCTCTGCAGCCCTGTACTGAGTGGGAGGTGCAGCTGGGGGTCACCATGCCTTGGGGGATCAGTGGACAGAAGGGGGTATGAGGTGCAAGGGCCATTCCAACTCATACCTTGTTGGGGGAAATACCATGTCATAGAAGTGGTTTTTTCAGGGAGAGGCTCATCCAGACTGAGGAGCTCGCTTGGCCTCTGGCAGGACTGGGGCTCTGCAGCCCTGTACTGAGTGGGAGGTGCAGCTGGGGGTCACCATGCCTTGGGGGATCAGTGGACAGAAGGGGGTATGAGGTGCAAGGGCCATTCCAACTCATACCTTGTTGGGGGAAATACCATGTCATAGAAGTGGTTTTTTCAGGGAGAGGCTCATCCATTACACTTTAGGTGTATTGCTAATCCCTGTAATTTCTCCAAATGTGGGGAGCTCAACTGCATAATTTGTAATTTTCCTGGTTTTTTTATAGTCTCTTTGCCCTTTGGTTCTTGTCTGTTTTCACCATTCTCTATCATTTAAATTTGCAGTCATACTTCCATTGGTGATGCTTTGCAAGGCGGTTTTCCCCCATTGAAACACATTCATTACATAAGACTTAATTTTTTTATCCCCAAAAAGTGGGGGAGGAAGTGTATGCTATTGTTTTTCCAGGAGGCAGACTCTGCAAAGCTAGCAGCATAAACTTTCTCCCACACTTTTTTGGGATAAAAAAGTAGGTCTTATGTAATTAATGTGTTTCAATGAGGGGAAACCATATTGCAAAACAGGGTAAAAAAAAGCCCTATCTTGTGAGGCAAAGACCCAAACATCGCCCAGTGAAAATTGCCCATAAGAAAAACAATCGAGGCACCACTGTAAGCTCAAGTGGGTTCAGGGGGACTTGCTCCAAGCTAAGTGGATATAGGATTCAACCTCCTTAACTCTTTTTGCTGCGTCTGAACGAAACAGTTGATTTCAGTATTTGGCATTCTTTTTCTTAGTTCATCTGGCTCTCTAGCATTGCTAAACCACTTTGGGGCCTTGCCTGGGAGAAGCAGTCTAAAAATGGAACAAATGAACTAACTCTAAAATTATGTTTGAGTTTCTGTTCAGGACAGTCAGAGTAACAAGATGACATTCCAGTTGAGGCCCTTTTGAGTGAGGGGGGGGCAAGGTTAAGATTTAAAATAAGCAGACCATAATGCCTTCAAGAGATAATTCTGAATTTACAAAATATGTGTCAGTGATTTGTATTGGTGTACGAATGATGCAATTTCCCTCAAATGAAGTCTGATGATGGCTTTATCCTGACAAAAATAGGCTGTTCTTAGAAATTCCCAGCTGTGACATTAATGATCTGCAGACTAGAAGAGGGAAGAGCCATTTCAGATCTTAAGGGCAAAATAACTAAGTATCACAGCCAGGAACATTTTTAAGTGGCTGTCCTTCTATACATGGAGCAGCTAAAACAGCACCCATCTTGTTTTATGGTTATTTTAGTAGATTTTGTACACACAGTGAATAATTGTTTACAAAGTAGAATAGCCATCAGGAAACCTATGAGTTGCAGCTTTGAATTGTTTCCACATACTGTAAACTGTACCTCATCACATTCTTTTGTTTGCTCATTTGGGACACTATTGTTATTTCAAACAAACCACCGTACAGTTTTCTTAGTGTATGGTAGTAGCAAATCCTTCTTCGTGGCATGGGTCATGCTGAATATAGCAGGCAAGCGAGCACTTGTGGCTGGACCCTCTACAGCTGGATGGAGATGGCAAAAATCGGTCTTCTGCAGTAGAAAGGCCCTCATATTCCAGTTCATGTTGGCCCTGACATGGGTCTTTTTACTTCATGTTATGAATATGATTATTCATTCACACTCAGTGGCTTTGACACTGTACAGCCAGTTTGCCAAGGAAGTATGGTAGATAATAGCATAGGGATGTGTGGGCTGGAATTTTAACTTCGCTAGTTATTTAACTTTTCTCAGCGCAACTCCTTGTTAACACCTTAAGAAAGTGGGAAGAGACTTGATTCTGTTTGTCTTTGTTTTAACTTATGTACCGCCCCATAGTACTAGATAGAGCACTCTCTGGGCAGTTTACAACATAATTATGCAAACGACGCATTCCCCCTCAGCAAGCTAGGTACTCCTTTTACTGACCTTGGAAGGCTGCTTCCACCTTGAGCCAGCTACCTGAATCCATCAGGGTGGATTTGATTTAAATCAAATTAATTTTTTTTACTATTTAACTAAATAAATAATAATTTTGTTAAAATTTAAATTGTGACTTAAATTAATTTTCTTTTAGAAATCATTGAGATCAAACTCAGGTCATGAGCCAAAGCTTGCTGCACTAGCGCAGTTTAACCACTAAAGGCTGTTGCTGGCCTGTTTGAAATTCCCCAGTTCCTGCTGCATAATGGACTAATTCCCCCTCCCATACGCCAGGGGTACTTTGTAGGAAAGTAAGTAGAGCTTTTGCACTAATGTGAGATTGTATGCAGTATAATGTTTCAACTACCACTCGGTTGCCTCGCCCTGGGCTTTCCAGGCCCTCTGTGAGATACTTGCAGCTAAGCCAGCGGCAGCCCCAACAAAACTGTCCTGATGACGTTGGAGTAAAATCATCCAGAGATACCCTGTGAGTGGGTATTGAGGATAGAGTTGGTCGAGGAGATTTCAGGAGGGAAGAGACCAAACGGAATTCATCACTTCATAATTTTACTTTTTTATTATTACTATATACAGTGGTGCCTCGCTGAACAGAATTCATCGCTTCATAATTTGACTTTTTAATTATTACTATATACAGTGGTGACTTGCTTAACGATTGCCCCGCATTACAACAAATTACTTTACGACGATCTTTTTGGTCTAAATGGGGGAATTTCGCTTTGCGATGATCGGTTCCCTGCTTCGGGAACCGATTCTTCGCAAAACAATTTTTTTAACAACTGATTGGCGGTTTCAAAATGGCTGCCGGGTGATTAAAATGACTCCCCACTGTGTTTAGGGGCGGATTCCTCTCTATACCGGCAGCGAAAATGGCCGCCGTATGAAGGATCTTCGCTGGACGCTGAGTTTTTACCCCATTGGAACGCATTGAACGGGTTTCAATGCATTTCAGTGGGTTTTTTATTTTCACTTTACGATGTTTTCGCTTAATGGTGATTTTCCTGGAACGGCTTATCGTCGTTACGTGAAGCACCACTGTATCTACAAAAGCTTGCATATTTTTAGTGGTCTGTTAAGGTATCACTTATTCTTGCATTTGCATTTTAATTTGTTTGGACCACACGGCTCCACTTTATTTCATCTCCAAGAAGTGGCCATGGTATTCGGGGATTCTGGGAGTCGGTGTTTCAAAAAGTAACTTGTCCAAACTCTGGAAGAGATGCTGTGGGAGAGTGGAGTTGCCCATACGATATGAGCGGTTCTCAGCTAAGTGAAGTAATTGTGCAGATCTCCTGTTGCTTCATTTCCCAGATTGCTTCAGTCCACCCATTTGAGCTTTCTCTCTTTCTGTCTCTGATTCCTGTGGGTTGCCGCTGAAAGCAAAATAAGAGATATTTTGCTGTCAGTGGCATATTTTGCTCTCCCTCCGCCCCCCCCCACACCTCATCCGCACTTACAGAAACTCTGTAAAGGCTCCATGGCAGGGCACTCAGGCTACAGCTATAGCCCTTCTCAGCAGGAAATAACACAACCCTGGGTTTCAAAATATTAAGTGTTCTACTCCCACTTGGCTACTGAGAAGTAAACAGGCCCCTTTGTTCTCTGCTCTGCACCCGCTGAGGACTCAGTGTCTTTTTTTTCTTGCCAAGAGAGGACAGACTTCTTTCTAATGCTGTCGAGCCAAATTCTGTTTGTCGAGACAGATATATCCAAGTAGAAAATACCCTTCCACATCAGCTGTGAGGATTCACATCAGTATAAATAGCCACTTTCCCCTTTAAGATATGCAGACTTGCAGCCAGAAATGGCTCTGTCTCGCCGCTTCTGTGTGTTTTAAAAGAAAAAGAGCACAACAAGCAATTCTCAGAGCGCTTCTGAAAGTGAAACAAAGCAGCATTGGAATAGGACTAGACCAGGCACGTTTCTCTCCCTCTTCCTCTCAGGTAAGTAATTTTGTATTGCAGAAATTTTACGGTATATCCAGTGCTTCATGGTGCTCAAGAATACTTGACAACCTGGTATGCTAGTTTCATTCTGTGTAATTATGGGTACTGATTAGTTGAGAATCTGTTTGTCTGGAAGCCAAATAGGGAAGTACAAAAATAAGACGCAGGGTTTCTTTTTTAAGTATTTATTTAAGGACAGGGTGGGGAATACAAAAAGTAAGGGGGAATAGGGAAGAGGGAGAAAAGGGTTAGGGGGATAGGAGAACGCGGAGTATACCATCATCCAGTCAATTCATATTACAATAACAGATCAACTTTACTTTTTCACAGTTTGATTACCCTTCTGCTTTCATCTTATCATTTAATTTTAGTTTAATTCTATGTTACTCCAACACTATCTGGTAACTGCAGCCATTTATACAATACATCCCATC